AAAGAGTGTCGCGTTGAGCGTTCATACACGGGGAATGAATGTTTTATCGATTGACTAGTGTCTAGTGTTACAGACTTGCAATGAATAATTAATCTCTTAATTTAATAATTACAAATCGTGAAAACAAAAAAATCGTATCAATTATCACGTGCGTAGCAGTTAAATTAAAAAAGAAAAAGGAATAGAGATTAGGAAGAGTACCGACCCAGGAGCAGAGGGAGAGATCAAGGTGCCTTCGCTGATGAGAAATCCACCTGGTGTTGATCTTTGAGCGTAGTATTCGCCCAGCGCTGCGCGTGGAATTCCGTTCAAGGCTCTGCATCGGGTCATGGGAGCCAATACCACTCTACACAAAACCATAATTAATTCAGATCGCTCATGTTTTGTGAGTAAAATCGAATAGATTTATCAAGTGACCTGTGAGAGAGGTTGAATTTTGCCATCTTGTAAGGAGAAAAGAGGGTGGTGCTTCCTTGCGTCGAATTATCTGCCATTGTTGGAACTCGGAAGCGAAGGAGGGAGTAGTAGTGCGTGTTACTGTTAGTGTTGAATTATTGAAGCCAAGGATCCACTTTCTTATATCATATGGTGCTTCGGGACTCACCCCCATTTCACTCTTCCACGTGATTCATATTATATGTGCTGGGATTAGCACGTGCTTTAATCTCTCATTTCCGCATATATGGACGGTCATACCCTAAATGCCAAATGCCTTCACACGGTGGAGAGTCGCATTCTTTTACCAAAATAATATTATTTTAAAAAAATTATCCAAATAATAATTGTGCGAATTTATTTATCAAACTAGCAATATTTACTGTTCACGTTTAGAACGGACCGTTCTGATATCAGAATGGGTCGTTTCAGATGTAAAAATAACACATGACAAATGGATCGGCCCGTTCCAGATTCAATATTAACACATGATCAGTGAAATTAAAACGGGACGTTTTGAATCCGAAACGAGCCGTTTTGGCCACTTCTGATGGGTCGATATATGGAACAGTAGACGTAAGCACACATTGATGGGTCATCCAATGCAAGGCCCATTGTTTTACACAAGAGAATACATGGAATGGTACATGACCAATTCCATCTATTTCCTATGTGTCATGACTACTACAATGCAAGCTTCGACATGAAGATTATTGACTAATAATGACAAACCTAAATAACTTGCACATCACACTAGGAAGATATGTCCAAATAATGTAATTATAATAGTTTATAAGCGACATAGTGCATTAAAAGTAAAAATGCATAACATTAAAATTCAAATTACATTGATAAAGAGACATAGTTTATTAAAAGTAAAAAAACGATAACATTAAGATATAGTGAATCATATAAGTTTTTTAATCTCCGTAATGGTGTTCAGTTCCACAACGAGGGCGACGTCTGTTACGGCCTAGATTACGCTGTGGAGGTTGTTGCTCAGAAGGATTTGGTTCATCATCAAGTACTCGTTGTTGAAGAACTACTAGGTTCATTAGCGAATTCCAGTTGGTAAAGAGATTGCATGTATGATTGTGCTGAAGATGGAGTTCTAAAATCTACTCCAAATAAATTTGTAAAAAATTCCTCTGAAGTTGTTGCAAACAAATGCCTTCTGTCAATTATTTTTCTTGTGGGATGATGTTGTGTAGAGGATTTGATACATACTGATGAGTCTCTTCATATGATCGCATGGAAGTTGCACCAGTTTCAAATGTTGTGGAAATCTTTCGTTGTTGATGGGTGGCATAGATAGGGGATAGATGGAATTGGTCATGTACCATTCCATGTATTCTCATGTTTGAAACAATGTGTCTTGCATTAGATGACCCATCAATGTGTGTTCACATCTATTGTTCCATATGTTGGTCCATCTGAAGTGGCCAGAACGGCCCGTTCCGGATTCAGAACGGTCTGTTCTGATTTCACTAATCATGTGTTAATTTTGAATCTGGAACGGCTCGTTCTAATATCAGAATGACCTATTCTAAATGTAAACAGTACTAGTTTGGTAAATAAATTCGCACAGTTACTATTTAAGTAAAAAATATATTAAATAATATTATTTCGAGAAAAAAAAAATCGTGGAGAGTCACATTTTATCACCTACCTCGTTTTCGTACAAATCATCCTATTACCTTATAAAGAGACTATTAAATAAAAAATAAATTATTTAATACTTTGAAAATCTAAAATACATTTAATACTTATTGTGAAATAAGTAACAAATTTGGAGGTCTGCTCGGAGATTAATCAATAATTGGCTGGATTTTTCTAGGTTTTGGCATCCTTCATACGAAATCATTTGTTATGGACAAGTTATTTGTGAATCAAATTGCATGTCAGTTCTGTATTTGATTATTAAATAAGTTTTATCATTTTATCTTTATGTTTTATATTTAACAAAATTCACCATTAATAACATAAAAACATACACACTTCAGATTAATATAATTATATCACTTAGATCTATGTACCAAATTAAATACGTATATATATATAAGCATAAACAACGAGGAAAATAAAATAATTATACAATATATATAAGTATAGTAATCTATAATTGTAAAATAAAAATTATAACTAGCAATTAAATAATATTTATACACGATTATATTAAAGTAATTCAATAAAATCAATTCCAAATCATTCATTTGCATGGCTTCAAAAAAGCTACAACCTACCTTCAACTATCCTTATATTACTCTCATATAAACATGACCATTGCAATCCAACCACTATGAATCATGTAAGGATAAGTTAGATTTCAAAATAATAAACATATAATAAATATAAAGTGAAAGCACCTATGCTACTCACCAACACTAACATGTAAGGTCATACCCATAACACCTCATAGTTTACAACATAACAACATACTAAACATCTCAACATGGCATTCCACACATAAGTAAGCAACTTATAACATGAGGTACATCATATTTCATCACATCAATATCATTCAACCATATAAAGAACAAGCATATGAACAATATCAAATCTCACCACATCATATGCATACATCTCAATTAATGCATCGTCACACATTCACCTACATAGATATTCTACAACAAGGTGAATAGTTTAAGTGGATTAATCCTACCCAACAAATGCGACCTTTTTACACTTGTTAGGTTCATAACCAAAATGAAATACCAATCCCTAACAACATGATTTCTCATATGTTGTCACTTAAATTAGGAAGTCTAGTATTTCTGGCAAGGTAGAACAATTTGGATATGAGTTTTCTTTAACATTAACTTGCAACACTAACCCTTATAAATTTAGCTCACTGACTACCTTCTAAATATTACGTCCCTTTGGTACTCAGTTAGGGACTAAGTTTTTAACCTTGTACTTCATTTAGCTGGTCACTTTATACACTTGTCTCGACCTTACCCATGTATAGATTAACATTAGTCACATTATAATCAGTCTAAGTTGACCTGACTCCTATATTGTAGTCACTTGTAGTCGATATGTCTTAACCTAACTCACGTATCACATTAATTAAGGTCATAAAGGAGACTCAATAATTCACTCTAAGAGATAACAACTACTAAAGGAAGGTTTTTCAACATTTGGCTCATAAAGTACCACACCAACATCCTCACAATGGAATATCCAACTTTCAAAAACACCATTCCTCTAGTCTTAAATCAATTAACATGTCTAAATGTATTTAGCATTCTTAGCATCAACACCTCAATCGGTCAACAATATTCAACAAATCATGCCTAATACACTCTTAGCATCACACCTTAGCAATATACATCTATATACATTATCTCATGTCAATGAATATAGATCTTAACTATATTTATCAATTTACAACCCAAATACACCTCAATAGTTCAACTATAGAACCATTTACATATATTATCCCATACAAATATACATAGACCCCACCCTTGATTAGTAACATACAATATGCAATCGATTCATCTAACTATCCATATTCACCAATTAATCATGTAAACAACAAGTTATTATAAGGCATCCCACACCCGACGCTATTCACCTTGCACCTAACGTCATTGAGGTAGCGAGTCCATTGCCTCACTTATGCTTGATATCATTCAACTCGTGCCTAGCATGAATGAGGTAGTGACCCCCGAATCCTTATGCCTATTGTAATAAAGTCCCATGCTTGACCCCATTCCAAACAGAGACGAGTCTTTCTCCTCACGCTCGATGTTATTCCTTTGGCACCCAACACAAATCCAAGTAGAGTAAATTATCTCACCATTCGACCCATTGTCGACAAGGATGAGGTAGTGACCCCTAGGACCTCACATTTGGCATGACAAAATCCCATGCTTGACCTCATTCCAAGCAGAGATGAGTCTTTCTCTTCACACCTAGTGTAAATCTTGGCAAAGTCAATTCTCTCACCTCACGTTTGACGCCATTCAAACCATGTTCAATGCCATTTAAACTCGAGATAATTCTTTTTCTTCACACTCGATGCCACCAATCTTATACTCATCATGAGTAAGATAGAGAACCTTTAATTGAAAGCATGTCGACACGACGGTGAGTTTTGCACTTCGTAGGCTACAAATTTGGCTTAAACCATTTGAAAACCAAAAAATCTCAAGCATGCAAAGCACCAAACAACATATATACACCACCAACAACTTATATTCAACAAGAAACACAACATGCAACTAAAGATCACCACAAACCATCCAAATTTTCTTTTTGAAAATGACTATACCAAGTTCAACAACTCAACTTCAAAATCATGCATTTCAACAACATAATTGCACTAATTCAATAATCAATTCATGCATAACAATCCAACGATCATCAAAAAATTAGGTTATAACTTCCCTTACCTTGAGTTTGTAGAGAATTGAGGAAGAAGAAGAAGAAGAAATGAAAGTCAAACTCTGAGCAACAAGAAGCTTTACACCACACCTCTACAATGATGATCTTTAGTTAAGGGTCTCCAATCACTATTCAAGCACCAAAAGAAAAACCTCTGCACCTTGAGTTTAGAAAGAAGAAAGGAAAACTCAGGATTCTAGAATCCTTTCTCTAGTTTATCTCTCTAAGTTGTCTCATAAATGAGTTTACGATACTCAATTATCAAAATAAATCTTATATACTTTTTCCCTTATAATCAAATTAGATTTTTATCCAAAGAAACCCCCTAAAAACTCTTAAAAAGATCCTTATCTCATAAAATCTCTCAATATCACATCTTAAAATGTCTCAACATATAATTATTATTAAAAAAAATAAGTGGCTTCTACATCAATTGTATTCTAACCAACATTGAAGTATATAAAGAATTAATGGCACAAACAACCTTTCCACACCGGCCATTTCAACACATATTTAAGCTAAAATTGTTTTATTAACTGTAGAGCAAAAGTATTGGTGGCACCGGAAGCTAACCTTCCTCAATAATTGTCTTAACTTAATATATTTAATCATGCTTCTACGGTATGTAATTGTAAGGATGCAAGGGACTACAATTATACAAAAATCAGAAGATAAACATGCCTTCTATTTTATACAGAACCGTTCAACTCCCAGGGCTTGATAGCTGATTTAAAGGTTATTTACAGTGGATGATCAAAGTAGTACGTAAATTTGATTTAACAGGTTTTTGTAATATTAAA